CGCTTCCAACCTTGGTACGACTTAAACACCTTTAGATCTCGTTTAAACATCGGCTTTTCAGCAGGGTAATAACATTACGTTTTAGGTACACTGCGTCCTTGTGCTACATAGCCTTTGTCCGGAATCAAAACAGAAATGATTGCGCACCGAACTGTTGGAGGAAGGACATTTAAATAATTCTTCAAGTTTCTAATTCTGGGCCCATAATTATATACACTGTTGTTTGACTGATTCATGGTTCGGTGCACCAAATACAGCAGATGTCAAAGAGCTTAATGCCAACGCGTTTTACGGCATAGACCGCAGCATCTTCAGAACTGGACACTGTTTTTCCAAAGATAATGCGAGTTTGTATATGTTTTTGTTCGGCTCTGCAGAGTAATGCATTTTTGGACCCATGCATTGCGAATGCTTAGATGCCATGGAGCCGTGACCTAATTACACGAGTCTATTTGCACGCTTTATTGATTTAATGCCCTGGCGTAAAATGACGAGCCGTCTTATACCAAGTGTCTCAAAATATGCAGGAGATGCGTGGGAAATTATCGAAATCATACTCTCAAATAGCCTCGTATCGAACGCCAAGATGTCGATAATACGATGCTCTTGTCAGCTTTCCTGCAATCGGTTCTAGTGATGGTTCTAACTCAGTGTCAACGTGTCATTTATGATTAAGCCCAGGTAATCCATACCACAATGGACACCTGGTCACCTAATTTCTCTTCTAGATGACCAACCAAAGTTCAGTATTATGGTGCACTTTCTTTTAAATTTTCAGAAGTGGTTTTTTTTACCAAACTCACCTAAAACATGGCCCAAACGATTCGGCAAACCGCCATTCAGATGGGTTGCTTGTATAGAACCTTGGAATGATCACTGGTTGAAAGCTAACGGTTTTTAAAATGAGTGAATACACATATGGCGGTGATAAAAACGCGAAATTATAAGTGTATTTTAAATTGGGGGCTTCTTTGCTCGACTCATAGGAATTTATCTGTTTCTTGTACTCCAGTACGAAGGCTTACAAATGATTGTTTCAACTGTTTATCCCGCCGTACCTGTTGCCTGCCCCCCTCTGATTACGAGATCTCTACAAACGACATAGCCGTGACAAATGCAGTTGTATCGTTCAGAGAAATGGCCATGAAGTGTACAGATTTGCCGAGGACTTGTCTTCCTCCTTGCGACAGACAGACGACATAATGGAAAAATATTTATTTAATTCTTTGAAGTCTGATACTGTCGGTAGCCCCTAATCTTTTTTAATTAGGTCCGTAATTGGAGTATCCTTCACGTAAATGAATTTGTTTGAAAAGCGTCAAAAAATTTTCCAAGCCGTTATGGCTCATCACATATTAGCCGGTTGATGACAGTGTTTCACGTTGCAACATAAGTGATTTCATTCAAAATTCGAAAAACCTCTGTTCTAACATTTCTAGTCATGCCTGATCGGTTTTAAGGAAGAGGCAATATAAAATCTCACTGTTATAAACGCTGAGGCATGTTTTGTGGAGATTTAACTACTAAAAACAGTAAAGTTCCTTAATTTCTGAATGTATGGATATCGTCAACGTTTGATATTATGTTGGTAGGTAAAAAGTCCCAGCGAAAAGAGCAGATTATCTATTGCTTGGCCGTTGCCGTATATCATTTGAAAGATCTATTTTTAATAGCCTGGGATAATGCGATAGTTACTGATTGAGAGACCAACCCGAACGTCTATCAATCGTTGTATTGCAAAGGCTGTTTTTTATTCAGAGGCGCCGATTTCAAATGGTTTAATTAATTCTTTATTGTTTATGCAAATTGACGATTGATTGCGAACTACACTGACGATTTGCGAAAAAAGCTAGCTTCTTCTGATAGCCCATCTCTGGTTCTTTCGTTGCGATTGCTTCTGCCGCATCAGCAGCTGTTGGTGTCTCTGTTCGATATGGCGGCACGTCAGTGTCCTTTTGTCCCAGTGACCATGGACAAACGGGTGCCGCGACTACGGCACCTGCTCCGACGATCGTGCGGCCTCGACGAACGAATTGCGCTTATTACCATGCTTCTAGGCTTCTTAAATCGCGGTCCTTTTATGGACAGTTATTGATTGACCGACTATAATTAATGCTCGCCAGATAAGACGGCGTGATTTAACGAACCATGTAATTACCAAAATCTTATTTACTCACAGCGCTGCGTTCCTCACAGCGGGACGTTAAGGAAAAAGCTAATTGGTTGACTATACGTTATCACGACGTCCGGATAACAGGCACCAGCTGGACTTGTTTGACGATGACTTCCTGGCTATCTTCGTTATTCATGAAGAATATAATGGCATACGTTGTTCTTGGGGGAACGATGCTAAGTCATTGTTTACATAAATGTTCGAGGAGGGCAAGTGATGAAATATTTTGATCGTGCCGCTATTGTCTGAATGGATAACAACGACTTATTGTAAAACAAAACTTATCGAAATTTTCGAAGATATCTTTTGGATGGAATGGCGGTAGATTACTTATTTCAGTGTTCTCAAGGATTTAATGCTTGTGAAGTCTGGTAAAAATTTGTTGGGAACAGGCAACAACAATAAAAAACGTAAAAACTGATTTCCTAATTATTATAATCAGTGATTCATCCACCGATGGGTGTTGGGGTATAGAAGTGCAACGTCACATATCACATAAATCTCTCGTCTTTTAGATGGCTGTGACTTGAAAAAGCGCATTGAAAACTTTGCCACTCCTAAATTACCCCTAAATCATGACTGACCAGAACAAGATCGAAAGTACATTAAGGTACAGGGTTAAGACAAAATAAGTTTCTTGGATGTGGAGGTTAAGAACAAAGGCTTTCAGAAGTTGAACCGTTTAAATTTCCAGTATTTCGAAAACCACCATCTTAATATTTAGTTAAAACAGTCCTGAGCCTCTTGGTTAGTGTTTAACTGCGTTGCAAATAGTGTTGACTTTGACTCTTAATACCCCTGAAGTGTCATTCATGTATTCATCCTACGAAGCCGAAATATTATATCTGAGAATTTCCTGACGAAAAATGGCTGCGGTGGAGAAATTATTGAAGGAATTTTATTGAAAGCTAATCTTAGTGTTAAAATAAACCTTGCAGTAAATTTTGCCCTGCGGTAGTTGTCCCTTAATTCACAAAGTTTCTAAGAAATTAGAACAGCATGCAGAGAGTAGAGGTTTTTGAATTTGGTTAAAAAAATCTTCTGCACTTTGAGATCTCAGATTTACTGCAATTGTTATCAGTTCGAAAGAGCAAAAGAGATGAATTTGGTATATACGTACGATTCGATGGCTGCCTCAGCGTCTTTGCAGCGGAAACTATTAGAAGATGTGGATAAGTTGCAGAACATCTGGCATCTTTGAGGATTGAAAATATGAGCATTCGATAGAACAGACAAATATCACTTGTTGAGAAGGTCACGTAGAGGTGTTTGTATAATCAAAACGTATCTTTTGGAGACGTCCGTCGTTTTCGCAGTTTTCCAGCGCTTTTACTTTAAGTTTAAGTTACCGGCCATTTGTCGCAGAAATTACCACACCAATTTTTGTTGATTGTTTGCTGTAGGCAGTTGCATGGCTTTTGTTACTGCAGCTGCACTAACGTTGTTGCTGGTCCGTTTTTGTTGTCAGTGAATTTCTTCTGCCGGAGCTGACATTCGCCCTCTTTTCCTTTTGCGCGTGAAGCTGTTCGGCGACTTCGTATTTTCACCTTTGGTGACAAACCTCAAAGCAGCGTGTTTATTCACCTGTTACTAGAAATTTATTAATACTTAGTTTTAAACTAGAGTTTTTTGTTTATTTTTTAACCCACGTTTCACATGCATCCATCTGTGAAATGTCGACAGTTTTAGTGGAAAACTTTTTGCGGATGCACGAATGGAACAAAGAACTGCTGAACCGGATTGATGATTACGAAATCGTGTACCCGATTCAGATCCGGGATCGCAACCGTGTTGGAATCGATACCCGTAACTACCTGTTTAGCAACATTGTATGTGTATTGTGTTTTATTTTGTTGTTGTAAACTTTTATTTATTTGTTTCTCTTTCAGACCGTACATTTTGATCGGTGCTCGTTTATCATCAAAAGCAATTACGGACGTTTCAAATTGCATGTACATCTGAACGAGTAAGCGGTGCTCATTTTGTTCATTCACTGAAGAATAGCCGCATGGACAATTGTGTCGTACTGCTTAGGAATTTGATGCCGCCGGGCGCATCGTACAAACTCGTGCTGGACACGGACAGTGATTTCAAGGTGGTAAAAAACGTTGTCAACTGTTACTTCCAGGGTGAAATTCATGGCTATGATCAGTCGCTAGTGAGCTTATCTACCTGCAACGGGTTACGGTAAGTTGTATTTATCGAAAATCCTTATGGTATAACGATCATTAATAAAAAAATAGGCAGTTAGAGGCCAGAAAAATATTTACATTTATTAGATGGAGGTTTCCGTACCCAGATATTGATAATGTACACAAAAGATGTCATAATCACAGATAACGAAGATTGGAAGGTAAGCAATAGAAACATTGTATCGAAGAAATATAAGAAAGGAAAACAAGTGAATGAAAGATACATGAAAATATGCGGAGTTGTACGAAAAGAAAAAATAGATAAATGGAGATTAGACAGTAGAAACTAAATTCTGTAGAATGAAATTCCAAGTAGGTGACAGATCTTATAAGCTTAATCCACTCAATGCGCAAAATGTTTTGATGAGGTCAGATTCGCTTATCATGAGACCGGTTAGAGACCTTCAAGGCCTTGCTGTCAATATGGTGTCGGTCCTCTATAGGATGCTTCACAATAGCAGTTTGTTATCCATGTCTATGCTTGAAAGCTGCCATATGTTCTTTTAGATGCCTTTTAACGTCTTTTTGTCATAATGTAAATTTTTGCACAAAGTTTTATGGTACGTTCTGTGAACAGTCTAGTTTTTAGGCTGTCCGCCAGTTGATAAGGTTGTTTGGTAAACTGGGCTAGTTGCCAAATGGATATGGTACTTCTTAGAGAACGTAATTCTGTATAATTTCACAGGGATAAATCACACAATAGGCGAACTAGTACAGGAATGAGCACTTAAGAGGTACACTGCAAGATGTACATGGTAGTCGTTGATTCAGCTGCGATCAGTACAATGTCAATATCGAACAGGCATGCTTTGAAGAAATTACCAGAGGAGCAGGACCCTCAGCTTGTTCAAATCATGGTCATCGAATAAAATAATTTAAAATATCTCATCATTACAGTAAACGACCAGTTAACGTAGTTCGATCATATGCAGAACATGCATTCTGTATATCTTGTCCTTTGGTCTGTATGCGGCAGCACTTAAAATCAGGTTTTCTTCTCTAATCTTTTCTATTCATGTTTGTTATCGGAGCGGAGCATCTTTTGTGTACCTTTTTAGCCAATCGGCTCCGAGTTTCTGAGAAATTTTGATTGCTACCGTATTACCTCAGTCGAACTGATGCTATCATTGCCCATGATTTTCGATTCGATTTTCTAACATGAATTATGCACATAACGCGAATGTTGACTTCATAAAAGTTTTGAATCGTAAACTACTTTTTAGGGGCTTTCTCTCGATGGGAAATCAGTCGTTCATTATCATTCCATTGAAAGGCGGTGACTTGGGCCGACGTCATCCGCACGTCTTCAAGCGTGTCCGTGGCACTGACGAATCGCTTTGCGGTAATTACCCGAAAACGCATTTTTAGCTCTGTTTAAAGTCCGAAAATTGTTGTTTTTAGGCAACACGGCCAATACCGAGTGGGACAGCGTTTTGCATAGGAAAAAATTATATTTCGGCAAAAGCGTAAGCTTTTTTGACTTGACATTTTTTACGACCCGTTTGTGATCTTTTCGTTAACACTTCTAGAGCGTTCGTTACGCGATGCATGAAACGAAATTTATCGAGCTAGTGGTAGTGGCGGATTTGAATATGGTAATGTGATTATCATATTTGTGCTTAACAATAATCTACCATTTGACAAAAGAGATATGAGGCATTTTTAGTCGTTTTCTGCTTAGGCAAAGAATTTTTCGTTTATCTTCATGGCCCGTTATTCCTTTCAATTGTAGAAGCAAAGGTCAAAGTATTTCCTAAGTCCCAGGTGTCTTTTGCCAAT